CCTCTGACTAGGTGAAAGTCCCCCACAGCTAAGCCTGAGCTGTGGGGAATTCTGATCATAAAACAAAGAGAAACAAAACCAAGAAGGTCAAGACTCAGAATTCTCAAACGATGTCATTCAGTCACAAGGCTGAATGAAAATTGTTCCCTTTTTTCTTAATATAGCTTCATTTAGAGGAATTCCTCATAACGGCGCAGGCAGAAGTCATTAGAACATACAGAAACTGAATGCCTTCACCCGTCCAGCGTCCAGCTGAAGCCACTGGCTGCTCAAACGGGCTTAAGGCCGTTCTTCTGAGTGCTCATGTAAGAGGAGTGGAACCACACAAAAAAGGCACCAGGGGAGGAGGCCCCCTTTCTAAAACAACACTGACTGACAGAGTCCCCATTGTGCTGAAGAGGAAACCACTTCTCCGATCTACAGCCTTGGTGCAGCTGCATTGGAGCCACATGCAAACCCCCACTGACTCACGTAAATGCACACACACAGAAAAACAAAACAAAAACAATAGGCAGGCGAATGCCATTTCCATAAGTCTGCTCTCATGAACATTTCAGCGACATGAAGATGCAGCTTTGTGGGGAAAAAAAATTAAAAATTGATGATACCAGACAGCAGCTGTCAAGTTTGGTATTAACACAGGAAGCAAAAGTAAACAGCTGGTCTGGCTCAGTGTGACCACAACTCATGTCTACACTTTGTATTCTAAATACAAAATTGATTTTATATGAACCACCTACTACACAACGCTTTGCACAGAGTGGGAGTTTCCTCTTTGTGTTCAGGTCACTCTGAGCTAACTTTCGCTTCACGTGCACCACATGGTCATGACAAGGATGGTTAGACTTCTAATCTGGCTCAAGGTAGGTTTTACCCTCAAGATGCTGGTGAAATTCCTCATGCGCTTTTGCGGACATGTTATACTGCTCGGTCATGGTCTCTGCCTTGACCTTTCCATTCCAAAATAACTGCGAGGGAAGAAGTGGCGAAACACTCAGACTCCCTATAAACCAGGCCAGACTGCGGGAGCTGTGGCCCGAGGCTGCCGAGGGCCAGGTGGACCCCCTTCTGCTTGCCCTGCTGCTCTTAAACCCAGTTAACCGTGCACCCTTGACTCCCATAATCTCCCTCTTCTGAGGGAGCACAGGGGTGGCCGGATGAGCCAGATGCATCCACAGCCGACTTAAGTGATGCGAAAAACACATCGGGCTGAAAACTTGTGAGCGCCATTTACCGAATCATAGCGATTTAAGTTTTACGATTGTAAACTCATTGCACAGCTTGACTCCATTAGTTCTGTTTGAGTGGCGTCCTGCGCAGCCCTACAGCTTTCCTTCAACTTCAGCCATGAAGAAGGCGGTGATGTCAGACTGGAGTCACAGTGTCAGCATGTCTGACTCTGCTGACATAATGCTAATCTCCCCATCTGTACTTTCCCAACATTTACAGCCATTTTATCGTGGGACCTCTTTTTGGAAAAAAAATATTAGAGGCAGCGCGTCGATGCATGATGCAACTGGATGTCAGAGTTTATAGGAGTCGAATCGGTTAGGATGGTTTCCAGAGCAATCAATGGGTGAAAACAGTCCTGTGTCGCTCCTGTAATAGCTCTTAAATATGTGTACCCTGTTGGTAAAGTCATTACAACCAGGAACAGTGGCAGGCCGCCAGTTCAAAGAGAATTTTCCTTCTTTTGAGTTCTCCTGTGGACTCAGCTTTAAGACCAGCCCACAGGAATCCAGCAGAGGATCGGGGGCTCAATCAGGCAGGCTTTGAAATGCAACTCGCTCGTCTCATATCATTTTCACAGGAACTGAATCGTGCAGAGTTATTTCTCAGGGCCGGGCGCACAGTGAGAGTGGAGGTTTAGGTTAAAGGGAGGCAGGTTGCGCTAGCCTGATGAGTAAAGTATGCCGCTGTTTACATCTGGAATCGTAAAAAGAGGCTGATCGAGAAGCTTTAGGTGGGCTTTATCTAAAGCTTGCTAATGACAAGTTATGTAGCAGCAGAGGCCACTGGAGCACAGAACTCACTGTAAGGCAAACTAACCACAGTGACCAAAGCAATTTCCCCTGTAAAAATGAAGGAAGAGAATGCCAGGCAGCTGTTTCCAGCCACAGAGGACAAAGCTAAAGCTGAGTTTTAGGATGCTGGAGGACAAAGGAGAGGAGAAGGAGCGAGGAGATGCCTTTAGCACATGTTGCCGGTTAGGCCTGAACGAGACATTTTATTAGCAGACCGCATGAAGTAGTCGCAGCGAACCCAGGGGTCTCGCCCCTCCTCCACCGCCTTCCACCATCTACCATAGAGCAGCCCTGTTAAAGTCATTAGCACAGGGTTAGCACTACACTGGCAAAGGCTGCTGCGCCCATGACATCACTACGGTCTGCTGTGAATCCAGGGGGACGTCTGCCGTTGTCTGAGTGAGAGAAAAGGGGGGCAGCGCTACCGTAGAGATTCAGACGCAACGGTTTGTAAAGGCATGTCATCATCAACCAGGAAACAGCAACACTAGTCCAGCGGACTGGAAATGACCTGTTTCAAAATATTCCATTCTGGAAAGCCGAGGCCACAACAAAGAAAGTTGCATGAAAAAATGAGTGGTGCGGCGTTGCACTTTGAGAGCGCCAAGATTCCCAAAGAAAAACCGCAGCCTTGTCCTCCAACAGAACTCCAAACCAGCAACTAAGAGGCCTTTGATGTACCTTTATCTCCCAACAAGAGGCGAGCAGGGCAGAGAAACGACCATTGTCTGATAAGGCCTCTAAAATATACAACCGTGTTGTTCTTTCCCACAAAGTAAAGGAAATCTGAAGCTATTATGGGCTGAAACGGGGAGGGGTTAGAGAAGTTGAAAACTTTTCCCACTCCCAAACACAACTGAAATGTTGAGTCTACGGCTCCATGCATAAAAAAAAATCTTCTGCTGCTCTGCACGGATGAACATAATAACAGGGATTGTCTTTGTGTCGCGGGGCAGTCAAACAACTGCAGCTTTAGACAGGATGTGCAGTACGTTGATTTCTTTTAAAAGCAACTTTTTCCAGCCTTTTTTTCTAATGGAAAAAGAGCGTGGATTCTAAAGCTGCTATTTCTACAACTTAAAAAAAAGAAGAAAGCACCAATTTCCTGTATGAAGAGCACATGACTTGGGGCTGTAATGGCAGGGCAGTATGTAACGCTGTCAATGATGACATTTAGCCACAATAACAGCCTGTTGCTGAGCTGGTCTTTTGCTTTCAGAGCTTCACCGTGCTGCCGCCTGATAGCTAAGGCAATAAACTAATGTCTTCCAGAAACACTGAAGGTTCACAAAGTGTTGGGGAGTGACAGTGCGCGAGCAGTGCTGTGAGGATCCAAGTTCTTTGATGCTCGGTGTTGTAATTAAGGTCTTAAAGAGCTAGAAGTCAAGGACGGGGTGTGGTTTGTGGAAGGAGGAACACAAAATTAGGACCCATGACATATAACCACGCTGCATAATACATAAACAGGAAGGTGACCTAAGTTAAAAACATTGAGAATGTTATATTTTGTGTCTCTCTGGCTTTGACTCGCAGTTTAGAGAGTCTTACACGGTTGCCTGGCAACTCCATGGTGTCATCAAGCCTTTCAGGATGTGAGCGTTGCCACGCAGTGACACATGAACCTTTTTGAGACCACAAACTGCTTTTAACTCTTTGGTTTTGGTCCGATAAATCCGGCCTACAGTGAAAAATAGATCAGGTTGATTAGTTGCTTTTTAAATCTAGTCGGTCATCTGGTTTGAATGGTTGACGCCCCAAAAGGGCAGTGACCTTCTGACCTAACAGGATCTTGTAGATTAAATTAGCTCTGGATTTTGCCCATCTTTCCTTTAGGATCAATGGGCCTAACCTGCCCAAACCACACAACGGTCAGTAGAAAAGAGCTGGATTTCCAAATGAGTCAGAACACCTCCTATCAACAAACCCACTTCAGCTGCCTGTACAGGAAGAGCACAAACAAAGTCCCTGCTCTCAGTTTTTGAGTCACAGCTTTTTAGTGGTATGTCTGCATGGGTGGTATGATTTGAAACCTATTTACTGCCCATCCTGGCACCTAAACTGTGTGATCAAACGTGGCAAGGAGTGGTAAATACCCTCCTGTGTGGACTTCAGTGCAACACACTCTCAGTTTCAGAACCCCTCCTGAGTGGCAGGGTGACACGCCGGGTATTCCAGGCACCTTAGTATTCCTGACAGTAACGTGCATCTGTAAAGTCCCTGCTTGTGTTCTGCTCAAAGCTGAGGCGACCTTTGCCTGACTACCGGTGGGCAGAAGTGTCCGTAAGTGTGTGCTCACTACAACAAAAGCGCTCAACTCCGGCAGCCTGATGGTGGACTGATGAGGGAAGGAAGAGGGGAGGGGAAGATTCTCCGTCTGTGGGAGTTTTGGGGGAATTCAGAAAATGTTGTTTTCAGACGCTCTGCCTGCCTGCAGACAGTAAAAAAAAACTGTACCAAACGGAGCGTTGGTGAGCCAGCCGAGAGCGTAAAGGCGCACTGGTAGTTTTACTAGAGCAAAAGAAGCCGTCCATATGTCCCCCCCTACACACACACACACACACCTCCCACCACGCTGCGCTCAGTATTTGCCACTTCAGCCAAACGCGGAGTTCTCTGACTTTAGAGGAGACAAAAGAACCGCAGGAGAGAGGGGGGGACAGCAGGCGGAGAATGAGGGGTGGGACGGCACAGGTCGGTTCATTTAATGTGGCACTGGCCCGTGACGGACAATAAAAGACAGGGCTGTCAATGCAAACACACTTTAATCCGTCTTAAAAGAGCCATAAATAACTTTTTTTTTTCTATACGCCGGGGCAACATATCCCGCTGTCATTAAGGTCTCCAACGCGCGTGTTTGTGGGGAGGGGGGGGGGGGGGGTAGAGGATGAGTTATAAGAACAACAGCATCTGAACAGGGGGAATAAACCAGTGCGAGGATGTACGGTCGTTTCCAGCTGGGCTGCCTTTCACACTCACCAAAACAATGGCAAATTTCTCCTCCAGCTCGGTGGGGTCAGGCATGGGCACCTTCAGGGGCATGATGTGATGCTTCATATCCGACTGGCCGTCAACACTCTCTATATTACCCATCTTTCTTTTGCCCCCCGGAGGTGCGACCCTCTTCTGTCAGCTGAAAACCACGCGATCCCTCAGCTTCTGTCTGTCGTGGAAGTCCAAGTCAAAAATTCCGAGGTATTCCAGCAGTTGATTAGTCCCGATAAATCCACTTTTCCTAAATAAAACGCTGACAGCGCACTGGGCTTGTGTTACAGCCCCAAATGGCCATGTACTCTCAATCAGGCGTTCAGGGTTACAGTGTAGCTCCACTGAAAAGAAAAATACAACGGAAATAAAAATATTTGTCCAACAAAAAATGAAAATATAGCTGATTTCTTCTCCAAAAGGTAGTTTCTCATTTATCCCGTCCAATCCATTACTTACAACTTTGGATTTTTTTTTAAATTTCCAGATACAAGAAACTTTCTTAACAGCCGTCCGACAGTTACTTTTAGTTGCTGCTCAACTTTCTTGGCTACGCCGTGTTTCCATTCATTATTGTTGTGTGACCCTGATTAAGCCCTTTGCTGATGCCTCCACTCACAGCGAAGCTTTTCTCCTTTAGTCCCGCCCCACCCAGGGGTGTCGTCTCTCCTGTTGGCCCCAAGGCGTGTAAATCATAGACCCTGTCTCCCCGCCCCCTCACATCTGTAGGCAGAGAGCTGAAATGCAGCTGGACTGAGGAGAGAAGAGACGCTTGTCTTTGGCAATTTGTCGCCATCTGGTGGCAAGACAGGAGTACTGTCGTTAAATGACCCCAAACAGGGCTGTATTAGTCACCACTTCCAGTTTCTAAATTGATTTACTTTCATAATGACTGCTAAATTCTTTTTAATCTGTTTATTTCATAATCATAATCAATGGTTTCTCGAGCAGCAACAGTCTTTTCTTAGATCTAGTGTAAAAGATGCTCCTAAACCGTAACATATTCAGACTTTAAGTAGAGATTAGAGAAGAAAGCATACCAAAAAAAACAAAAAAACACAAAGTGAGCTTGATTTGTGATTGAAAACTTTAATCACAACTTCAGCAGATGCACAGTGATATGTTTCAAGCCAAAGCACACCGTGAGTTACTACACGTCTCTGTCCAAAAGTGACAGCAGGGAACACATTTCGGTCATAAGATTTTTACTGTTCTGCTTGAAAAAATATAGACATGACTGGAGCTTTTTGACCAAACAAACACTTAAAATCACAGAGAGGCCTTGGCATCTACAGAGCAGCGACATGGAAATGACAAAGTCTTGTTTTCACAGTGATATAGACTCTGCTGACAGTGTCCCTGAAACCTGTGGTTTCAGTGAGGGTCGAAAGGTTTTCTAAGACTTCGATTTATAAAAGTAAAATCAATAACATATAAAACTTCATCTGGAACACAGTCTATAAACACTGGCAAATTGTGCAGTATTGTAACACTTAAGGCAATGATAGAAACATATCGAACAGAATAATATTTTATATTCTTGAGTCTGTAAAAAATTAAATTCAAAGGAAGTCTTTTTCTTTTGTGTTGGATGTCGTAAAACCCTAAAACACAGCAATACCTACTGATCTTGGCATAAGTCCTCATTTAAAATAAAATCAGAAGAGGACTTTTACATGCTTGAACATATATAACTTTTATTTGTCGTGCAACACAGCTGCACTAATGTAAACTATCCATTCAGCCAAATATGTCCAAAACAGTACGGAATCGACACAGTTAACACTTTACGAATGATTAGCTACACGTAAAGTATTTTTCTCATGAATACCCATGATCTCCATTTTCAAAGAGATCTTTGTTTTTCTTCTTCGGTGATTGTGGACATTATTATTGAAGCTGAATATACACACGCATGTATCACAGGTCACGGAAGCAAAGCAGCACTCGTGTCATATAGAGCCAAAGATCAGGCGTCTAGTTGGTCTCTGCAACCAAATCATACCTAAAAAAGGCAGAAAATAAACAAAAAAAAGGTTACAGGTTGTGGATCATATCTTAAAGTCAAGTAGTGCTTTTATTTTCAAATCTTTACCATTGTGGGACACAGGCCTTGAGGTCAATTTGGTCCAAATCCACCTGCAACTGAAGAAAACAGAGGAAAAAAGAGTCCGGTTACTATCGCCTCCTCTGAGATTTGTAAGCAATCCCAGATAAATAGAGATTCCACACAAATACCTTGCCGATAAGCTCCCTTTCTCTGCTCATGAAGGAGACGCTGTTCTTCACAGACAGGTCCAGTCTTCTCTGGGAGGACTCTTCCAGAGAGAAATCAAAATCAAATCTACAGAGAGAGAAGCAAGAAGTCATTGACTATGTTTGCGTTTCTTTCACCAAAAAAATGCTTCTTAGCTGTTTTGTTTTTTAACCTCTCATTGAATTCCGGGTTGAGCTCCCTCTTCTTGATAGTTGTTCTCCTCTTTGTGGTGGCCTTCTTGTCGGGCAGTAGGATAAAGGAAACGTATGGATCAGCACCATCCTTGGAGCAGGCTGCCAGGGTTCTGTGAGTGGACAGATATCCTCATGCATAACCGTGCCAACAGTTTGGGATGTAAAATGTGCTGGTGATGTATGTCACATAGAAACCTGCAGGAGTGAACGATGATGAAAAGCCTGTGTTCATCTGTGGAGTAACCAATGGTAAGCTTCACTTGGCCAGATGAGTTTGTATTTTCACTGCCACTGAAAGCACAAAGGTTTATTAATATCATGTTTATTAATAAAGAAGACACACAATTCAGATATACTAGCTATTAGTTGTGTCTTTTTAAAGGAAAAAACCTTCTGGATATCAGCCAGTTTATAAGCACTGTCTTTACAGCCCAGGTTTGGACTGAATAATGAGAAACTGGGGCCAGTGTGTGAGACTCACATGGAGAATATACTTCTGGGCTTGAGGTCTAGATGGGACGGATCCCATTTCGGGATGGCTTCCCCATCGCTACCTGCTCCGACTGGAGTGCCACGACACACCGCCAGCTGGGTATCCAGAATCTGTAGCATAAAGAGTAAACATATTCATTGTCAGATGTGACACTTTACTGTGCAGTTGAATTGAAAAAAAGTTGCGTTTAAAAAGATCATTTTTGCAGATTTGTTCACAATAAAGAGTACGTCTCTTCTTCTACGCCCTCCTGACGCGTAGAGAGAAGCAGAAAGTTTTCTGTACCTTGAGCATGACCTTCAGCAGTATCTGGCTCTCTGGCAGAGCTCCATCCAAACTGATCCAGCGGTCCAGCACCAGCCCCGGCTCAGCCAGAACCTCCCTCAGAGGAAGTGCCAAGGAGCCCAAAGCCTGACCCCAGCTGTGGGAGAGCTGGAGGAAAACACACACACACACACACACCTATAGAAATGCACACATTTGTCCGGGCTTTATCACGTCTGAATAAAACATTGTGTTTGGCTTTGCAACCACAGCTCAGGGATCGTCTCTCACCTTGACTGTGAGGGTTTCATCTCTGGGGTCACGAACCAAAAAATGAAAGGCTTCATCCCACCGAGGAGAAGTGGATCGCTCACAGATCTTAGGAAATATCCAGTGGAACATTATGTGGCTTCTCGAGTCAAATGTTTTAACGTATATCCACAATGCAAAGATCCTACTCCTACCTTGGTTTTGTACGACACATTGTTGTGTATTATCTCAGCTCCAGCCTTTGGCTCCTTTCCATTCTTCTTCAGCTGAAATTACACAGAAGGGCAAGCTAACGCAAACATTGTAATGTATTCAATTTGAGTTCCACAATTAAACCAATAAATAGTTATCTTAAGACCTGTGCTCAAACAAAAAATATAATGTCAACATTTGCTTTCAGTTCATGTAGCAAAAAAAAAAGCTGTTTATACAACAAATAAAAGCCTGAGGGCTCACTTGCAGGCCATGGGCACGCTCCACATACAGAAACAGCACGGCTGCAGACGGCACAACCTTGTTTTGGTATATCTGTTGGGACTGATACTGCAAGACCTGCAAGAAATAAGAAAGAGTTATGCCTGGGCAACACAAACACTGTGGTTCAAGTCTCTTTTGCAACACAGCTCACAAGACATCAGCATATGCCAAACAAAACTCAAGCAAAGTACCAAGAAGAAGAAGCCCATGGTTACATTTTCATCAGTTTCTGCTTTGTCCTTGACAAATAAAGAGCAAATGACAACATCTTTGCTGTGCTCGGCCTTTTACTGCTGTTTTTCCTCAGTGTAAAATAAGCCTTCACACAAAGTAGCTCAAAATAGCCACTATGTACAATGATGCTATCTGCGTAGCCACAAAGAATGCCGCAGCTGAACAGCTACATTGACCCATGCCTCTTTCACCGTTCACATGGCATTCAATGTTTGGCATCAATAGAAACTGAGCCAAATAAAACGGCCGAATGTAATGAGAAAATTACAGTTCTTATTTACTTTGGAGACATGATCTGAAATTTTGAGACTGCGCTCCATCAAATTATTATTCTGGATTTCTGACTTTCCAGTCCTCATACAGGAAGTTGGCAAAAGTATGATAAAAGACATCTTGTATGCATTTCGCCTGAGCTGCTGACTCCATATTCTGGGCCCTGCTCAGGAAACAGAATGTAAAATACTTGTTTAGGCATGCAGTGCAGCAGACACACACACCACTACCAGAGTGTTTTAAACTCTAATTACAACCAGCTGACGAATGGATTAAAATGATGATTGTTACATTGTAACCAGTCACTTCAGCACTGTTCTTTACTGCAACTGATGCCTTTTAAAGTTTAATCACTGCTTGTTAAAGCCAAAGTGCTGCTTTGTTTCAGTTTTACTCTGAGGTGTGCGTGTTTTCATTTTCTTTTTTTTCAGATCAAGCTAGTTGAAATCCAGACATCGCCAGAGGCTCTTTCAGGAGCTTGTTGTTCCCAGATTAATATTTTACTCCAGTCTACTTGTTCTGCTCCCATGGGATGTTATTTAGTGTACTCTTTTGCTCTCTATTGCTTTAATGATCTTTTACACAATCCCCTCACTCCCTGCTCTGCTCAGGGTTGTAGCACAGCCAATGCATTATCAGAGAATAAACACTACAGTATGTATCTGACCTGCTCCAGTCTGAACAGGTCTGAGACTTTGGGTAGCCACTCCAGCACCAAGTGAACTCGACCGGACTTCACATCATTTAGAGTGTACCACTAAAACAAGAGGGGCACAAAGATTTGAGCGTCATCTTTTGAAAAATGTCAAAAAATGTTTTGTTTTTGTTTTTTTAATGATCTCACACACCGTATCAATAAACTGTGCACTGATGATGTCCCTCAGGTTGAGCTTGAACCTGCAAAGACAGTGAATGTATTTCAATGGCATGTTTCCCCTTCTGTTAGAAACACCAAATAGTCAGAAATAATCTGTGACTTTTATCTCGACACACCTTCCGAGAAAGTCATCCTGATCAATGTCCTTATCAAACAGCTCAAACTGGATCTCTTGACCCGGGAGCTGGGTCAAAATCACCTGGATCCAGAACGAAAAACCAAAAAAACATTAAATTGTCAAGGTATAATAGTCATTTAACTGAATGCTTCGGCAGTTAAATGTACACGTTACCTCGTAGAGTTCATTCCAGACAGGATTGAGGTTCTCTTTGATGGTGTGGCTGCGGAAGGTTATACCAGCCACTCGAATCTTGACATAGGGGTCGCTCTTCCCCTTCACCATACCCCCCATGAAGTTGTCTTTTGCAATCAGGTTTTGGGCCTCCATCAGATGGATTCGCAGCACTCCCTGCAGTCAGGGCGGGAACAGGGATTGTTACAGAGTGGCTGCTGATGCTCCGCTTGGGTCAACTGTTTCCTCACCTCGGTTGCAAACTCCGGATCGGGCGTGGTGTGCTCTGGCCATGTCGACTGAGGCTTGTTTGAGCCAGCCGACCCTGTAAGCTCAAGGTCTGATGTGATCCCTCCCTGGCCTGTCCCAGACCCAGAGGTGGAGGGGCGAGGAGACGGAGTTGTAGGAGTGGTGTCATCACTAAGCCACAAAACCTAGCAGGATACAATGAAGCTTGTGTGAACAAATGTCAAGCAGGAAGTTACTAAACAATGCTGGGTCGTGTCTTGAGGCAATCACATGAGGCAAGTTGGTGGGTGCATGATGATTCATGATAGTAATAATCCCTAGAATATAAATAAAAAGCTGATGATTATCTTAAAAGACTAAACGGTTGCTTGCTTCAGCATATTAACCAGTACAGTTTATGTATGTAGAGACACTGCCTGGAATACCAACCCTAAGCACAAATTTGGCATAGATGCGGCTTGCAGAGCCTGAATTCTCCAGCTGAAACCACTGATCCAAGGTAAGCTCCGAGGCCTCCAAAAGACGGTTCAGAGGGATCGTCAGGCTGCCCAAAGGCAGAGCGCGGTCATCATCCTTCACCTGATTAGACACAGGAACAGAGGACGTGGTGGTGGAAGGAAGCTGTTTATAATGCTCAACAGAGGTTTACCCATTACCAACGGCAACCCACTTGAATGTCAATATCTTGTTTGCGAGGATCTTGAATGAAGAAGGTGAAAGCCTCTTCCCACACAGGGCTGTTACTCCCATAGCAAGTCTGCAAAAATAAGCACGAGTATAATCATGCTCAGTGTCCGGTGAGCCAGTAAGAAAATTACACTTTGAATGGTCTTACCTTGCTCTCTTTGGTTAAATCTTGAATAGAAATCTGAACCATTGGGCTTGGGTCCTTGTTACCTTTCCTCATCTACAACATTTTTAACCACAACCACATTCACAGGGTGAATAACGGTAGAAAAATCAACACACAAACTGATTAGCAAGGAGCTTACAGGCAGATCATAAGCCTGGTCGAGATAGATGGCCAGAATGGCAGCAGATGGGGGATCAGCGGTCTTTGTGGTCAAGTTCTGGTTCTTTTCAATCACCTAGTAAAAGACAAAAAAGAGGAACGGGTGAGGAATTGAAAGCAAGTCCTCGGAATTTGAATTATTTGGATGGTAATGTTATATAAAATTCAAGTCAGATAGAAGCAAAAAAAGAGCAGACACAAAAGGTTAATAAAAAAGTCATAGATGAAAATGAGGAAAAATCTGTTGCTAAAACATCGTCGATTAACATGAAAGGAAAATGTAACTGTAAACCTGAGTTAATTCAACTGTGTGTATCCAGCCTGGATTCTGAGTTTATGGTCTCACCTCACTCAGTCTGTCAGCAGAGGACAGCAGAGAGAGCCACTCCAGCCGCAGATGAACGCTACCAGATGAGACGTCCGTAAGATTGAACCACTAAATGAAAAAAAAAGAGAGAGAAAAGAAAATCTCATTAAACACACATTTCTCCAGTCCAGCTGATTTCTTGCTGCCGGCCCTGAGATCACGAGTGGGCATGTGGCATTTCCAGCCTCACATGATAACAAGATTTCTGCTTAATGACTCAGACATTTTTCAGAGCAGAACAATCAGATAGTTTGGGGTTTTCCAGCCTTTTGAAGTCAGAAACAAAAACATAAAGGTAATAAAATACAGGATTTTTTATCAGAAACTGCAAAAGAGTTGCTACTTACATCATCAACAATTCGGGCCTTCTTCACAATATCAAGATCTACCTTGACTCTGAAACACAGAGAGAAAAAGGCACACACAGAGGATGAACAATGGTATGACTAGAAAAAATAACTCTTGGGACATGGTTAAGACCCAAAATGGCAAAAAGCAGCTATGGGAATGACATGAGCAACACTCGGAAACGTAGAAAATGGATGAGAATGAGTAAGCTACCTCCCCAGGAAGTCATCCTGGTCTGGGTCTTTGTCAAACACTTCCACCTCCAACTCCTGACCAGGTACTTCATGGACAATCACCTAACACATACACACACAGAAATGGACGAATACACAACACGCAACAACAAATGTACAAATATAGATACAGCCACAAATGGCATAAAACGCAAGTGCATGCGAACAGACTGACGATGGCAAAATTATTCTACAACCAGCTGCTAAGTAGATGTCGGTCTGCTTAGTGTTTGGATGTAATTTTCGTATCTGAAAATAAAGAGAACAAATGTCTCCCTGAGAGAGCAGTTGCTTATCGTGGAAACAGCTGCTTCCTGTTGCCACAGATGAGATAAAATCTCCACAAAACTGTTTATCTCTGCAGCAACAGTGTCATATTTACAACCACAGATGTACTGCAACCTCCACAGAGCAAGGACACCAACGAGAAGCCATTCATTTTGGGACACTTGTATCAAGTCGTATATCTCACGTATCCGTCTTTTTTGAGGATGCACCTCCTCACCTCAAACATCTCCCTCCACTGCGGGTTCAGGTTGCTATCCACGTGATGAGAGGTGAAGATCTGAGTTCCAACACGCAGCACAGCGTAAGGGTCCGACTTCCCATCAATCAGACCTCTGATGACCGTATCCTTTGCAGTCAGGTCCTCGGCCTCCAGCAGGTGGATACGAACCACTCCCTGTTATTAAAGAAAGCGTGCGCTAAGTCAATCAGCATCCTCACAAACGTGCTCAGGGCGATCAATGTGCCACATGTTTGCGTGATGAGTGCTGTGATGGGTGAATGGAGTTGTTCTGCTGGAAGAGGTGTGCTTCAGTCAGTGTGAGTCCCTGTTTCTCCAGGAGGTCATTTATTATTGAGACAGTTACCCTTGGGAGAGGGGAGCGGAGCTGCGCCACGTGCAGGTCAGCCACCAGGGGGACAGTGAGGCGATTGGGCAGCACCAGGTAGGAGGCTATTGCATCCATTATCATAGTGTCCGACATTGCACTGCAAATGAATGCAAGGATGACGTTTGGGGATACACAGAGAATGGACATACAGGCAGACAGAGGCTCTAAACTACTGCTTGGAACATGTTCATGCACAGACAACATGAAATCCGACAATGGAGCCCAGAGGCTCCCAGCGAGAGGATCCCAAAGGCCAAAGACATGAGCGGAACTCGGTGAAAACATATGGGCAAATAGGATCTGAAGGAAAAATACAATTTTTTAGAAAAATGACATCGTAAGCATTGTCAAAGAGGCTGCTGCTGATGCATTTATATAGCGGATGTATCAGACCCAGAGATATGCCTCTGATAATGCTTTAATTGTATTTTCATACAGATGCATCTTACAGAGTTCCTTTTTCAGACCTTCAGTTTATACTCATATTCTATATAACTGCACATACATATATAGAATATAACTGTTTGTGTGTAAAGCTACAGTCATAATCTCGCGTGGGTGGCATCACTCAACAAACATTCATAATAAAAAAAAAGGGCTGGCTTTGTCTAAAATTTTTTGCCATCGTAAACAAACAAATACCGTGAAAAAAACAGTATTAGGTTATAAAATAACTTTCTAACTGCCCCTGTTTGGCAAACTGACTACAGCCATCTTTCTCCTTTTAACATATTATCATAAAGATCCAAGCAAATGGACATTGAGTTTAATCCAGTTCCACTTTCATCCTAAATTTGTTTGGGGCTCGTTTTATTCAGAAGAGATGACCGATTTTAGTAGCTAAATAAGTAATACAACACATTATCTAATATCTACGGGGTGGTTCTAAAAGGAGCAGACTCTTAACTACATCTTAAACTAAAAGACGCTAAACTAGATATATACCTCTGAAATAAAAGTATACGAGACCCTAAATAGATTGAGGTAATTCAAAAAGAGCTCCCTCTTAAAAACTCACTTCAGTCCAGGGATGTCCAACAGATTAGTAAGTCCCGTCCAGTTGATGTCCAGTTTCTACGCGTATGACACAAAGGAAAGGCAGGCCTATTAGAAGATGGCCATGGAGTATCAAAGAAGTGCAAGAGTGAGAGCACGCACAGGTCTGCGAATGAAGAACATCGTAATGGCTCCAACCAGAGGCACGTCTCCAATCAGGGGCTCGAGGATCACGCGCAGCTTCCCGTGAAGCTGCGATGAGAGGGAAATAAGCTGTGAGGCAGACCACTGGAGGTGTAAGGTCGTAAAACAATCGGACAACTACCTGGACTCCTTTCACTCCAGCTTTGCAGAAGTACTTCTTGATTTCTACGTTTATCTCAACGTCGCCGGTGTAGCTGCAAAACAAGAGCGGAGTCAACGCCAAAGATCAATGTTCCACCGGGGGCCGACGGGGAGCGATGAAGGAGCCGAGTTCCTCGTGCGTGTTAATGTTCCTCCGAGCATTAACAGCAGTGCTCTGTTGTAACCGCAGTGTGTCGACACACTTCCATTACAAGAGAGCACACTTCACAAACGCCATCAATCGAGACCTCATTTAAAATGGGAGATAAACAAAAGTTTTGATACGTCACCTCAGGTACAAATCCAGCATGACTTGTCTCTTGTCGTGCTCCGTGTGAGCCTTTACGCCCACCACCTTCACAGCCTGTGAACACAGCAGCTGCTGGAAAAACCATCTACTGTGTGCTTTCATCCAAAGACAAACAGGGTAGCCTCGGTCTGGCCGTATGTGCTAGGTTTGTAACCGAACCCGGTGGGATCATCTAGGGATGCGTTTCGGAATACGTGACAAGCAGTCTACGAACCTTCTCCCCGAGGTTGACCTTGGTGAAGCTGAGAGTCTGCAGGTAAATGTTAGAAGCTCGGATGGCGGGAGCAATCGTTTCCACCAGCAGCTTCTCCACATACTGACCCACGAAGGGCCAGGCCTGTTGGAGGATCTACACCACGGCAAATGGAAGTTAGTCAAAGTGAAGTGATTACCTGTCATATAATACAATCGAATAGACATTTTTGCTTCACTCAGATCGTGAAACAAAAGTTGCTTTAAACTGCCATACACAAGAAACTGTAACTGCTTGTTTACAGATCCAAACTGGCAGAGGGATCACATGTCAGGAGGCCTGTCAGGGAAAAGTAGGACAGCTAAAAAAAATGGGTTTAGCAAATCCCCATCCTACTGGCTTTACCTCTGTCGTTACCTTTTACGTTGATTTCCCCCCAAAAAAGATGCCTCATATGATTAGTATTCATAGCCACCGCTGATGTGAGCCTACTACACTGACAGAGACAAAGAAGCTGTGATATGATCTCAGCCACTCTGCCTGCCTCTTAATTACACTGACGGATTATCTGCTCTGATGGAGAGGATGTAACTAAAGCTGAATCCCACATGTGAACACATGTTCCTCTTTCCATCATTAAATGGGAAGCATTTATGTTGCCGTAGCTGGAGTTTCTCATATGAACATCTTACTTTGGATTTGTTTTCTTTGCTTTGCCACAGCTTCAGAAAATAAAAATGGACAGAGAAAAAAAGATGAAAAAAGGGGATGGGAAGAAGAACCTACCTTATTCAGCCACTCCACTTTTTCCACGTCTGGAAAGTTGACCTGTGGACAAGTTGTGTGTCAGGCATGAACTCAAACATATCAGCAAGGCGACCCTTTAGCTCTTAAATGTGGAATTCTAAAGCAGAGCTTAGATAGCAAAACAGAAATTTCTCAATCCTTGCCCTCATAAGGCAGCAGTTTTAGGAGAACTAACCATTTCCCCTGCTTTGTACGTGTGAAGCGTAACTATAAACACACATAACGGAACGGTAGGAAGAGAGCCATCACGTAATTATTTAGATTTATTTGATCCTTCAGCATTTTTCAGGAAACCATGAACCACATCATCAGATATGAGATCTCATGCTCAGGCCTCTCTGCTCACATGCAAACACATGCACACAGACTTTGTTCCACTTTGCTCTCTGACCAGATGTGCTGGTCATCTGCTCTATGTTTGTGAGTCATCACATTTTGGAAGGTCAGAAGCAGGGCCACAAAAGAAAAATAAGATGAGAGAACCCCACAGAGAAGGAAACCCCCCTTCTCTGTTATTGCTTAAATCATTACTGCTCCTCTCAACCTTACTCTCATTCACCCCCCAGCTCCACTGCAGAGACCTGTCACGCATGATGTGCCTTGGCAGCAGTTCAGGTTAATTCCTCAGGGAACTTAAATGTCCAAATATAGGAAAATTAGGAGAGCAATAAAGGATACCTGTGCATTTAGTCTTGCTTTCTTTTTTCCGCATAAAAGTCTACATCTAACAATAGACAAACCGGTAGAGGCACACTGGTCTCACGGAGGTGTGAAGCGCTCACTCTGCAGAAGCACCATCACAAATGACGGTGCGTCTCTTACCCAGGGAGGTAAATCCCTCTTGGACCTGAAGACCCTCTCCGTGGTGAATTCCCTCTCGTTGTCCTGGAGGTACATGGCAGACTGGAGCCTCGTCAGTTTCTCCTGTCGACCCTGTTTCCATCTCGTGTAGATCAGCAGCCCGATCAGCACGAAGCAGATGCTGAAGCCGAAATACCCGGCCAGGTAGACGGGCAGGAGGGCACCCAGGCATTTTCCGAACGACCAGAGCGCGCCCACGGCGCGTTCGGCGGGGGTTTGGCACGGGGGGGCCGGGGCTGTCGAGGGCGTCGCGCCTCTGCCTGCGCCCGGCTCTCCATCCGCCGCTGGCATCGTGAGATCCGCCAAACTTCACGGTTGCTCGAACCCAGCTTCCAACTTCTCTGTCTGTGCGACAGAGCCACTTCAGTACAGCACCGACGCACGGACCCGCTTCGTTGGAAGTAAGCGAGGAGCTGCGGGTTTACATCATAATCCCCCCTCAGTACCGAAGATCTCCGTGATGATCAATTCCGCCTCTCATTTACCTTCTTGCATCGAGAAGGGCAAGCGCAGACTGGGTGCTGAGAGGGCGGGCGCAGCCTCGAGCCCTCCTTCACACCAAAACGGGTGGAAACTAAATCCTAGAATGATCTTGTAGCGTCATGTGCTGACTCGGGCGGAGCGTAGAGTCTGCATGCAACGCATTTACTGTAGGCTACCTGCAGCTATTAGAAGGTTGCAGTAATAAAAAAACAAATCAATTCTCTAAGAGAGCCGTACGATAGTTTTGCGCACTGCAAAATAGATCTTTTTTGCAGTCACTGGTTCAGAATAAACCCATCTGGCGTGCGCAGGCGCTCCTCACACTGCAGCAGCTCCATCAGCGGGCCTGGCAGCAGTAAGACCAGGGCCACGGACAGAAAGGTGGCCTGTCCTGCCCACTAATCACCTTGCTGTTCTCGGGTCATCGCCCCCTTTCCGTGGCTTCAGAGCAGCAGAGGAGCCTTCGTTTGGACGCTCGCACTGCTTGGCTCCGTTGAAAGGGCTTCATCTGCGCCAATTGAACGGGCCAGGTTTTAAATAGCTCCCCAGTTGCTTGGAAACAACCGGTTATCTGTATTTGCTCGGAGGGTAAAGACTTTGAAGATCCCATATGTACATAAACTGCCTGCAGGAGGAAAAAAAAACATGTACTTGGTCCTGTGGGTCACGTGGCAAGCAAGAAACACGAAGAACATATTTTGTGGAATATAAGAGGATAATTACATTGTATTTAATTATATATCATTATAACCATTCATCGTCTGTATAAAAAACAAGTTTAGGACCCATTTTATTTCAAACTGCAAGATATGACTGTTATAACTGTAGTATTACCCTATGTTTTCCTTAATTTCCTACACTTTGGTATTCCCCCGTAATCTTGATTTGTTTGTGTGAGGATATGTTTCCTCAGAAGAAGGCATCGATCACTGTAAAACAAAGAAACTATTTAGCTCTTTTCTCTATCCGTTATGTGTCTTTTTTTACATCTCTCAAAAATGTTGTTCTTTCCATGCTCTTTTATCCTCTGTTCCAAAACCAGTAAAACACTACCCTCAGCACCGAAGGAAGAAATGAAGAAGCCAAAGTTTCGGGATTAAACACATCACTTCATCTAATTTCCCTTAAAGAATTAAGTCAGCTCTTCCACTTCCCCACTGAAGGACTGAAGTATTCGTCATAGGAAGATGAGTCTGTGATGTTGAACTAATACCGGCCAAACAATGTAAGAGATGTAAAAGCCATCATTTGGACTCATGGCAGTCAGGAGGAACATTTTTTTTTCAGTGCTGTGTTTTTCGTTTAATACAGAAGCAGATAAATAATCAACTAAAATCTACTAAAATCGGCACTGTCCATATCAGTTACGTTACATAAGTAATAAGGAATATGAAATTATTTAAAATTGTATGTGTAACTGAAGTCTGCCACGCTTTCTTAAACCAGTTTAACATCTTAAAATCACAGCAATTACTCCATTCAGACTTTATGTATCATATCACTTCATTTCCTCGAGGTTTACATGGCTTGTTTCAAGCAGACTATATGGACCATAATTAAGGACAAAGTGTTCCAACATCTGTTTTCTGTGTAAACTGCACCATCTGCTGAGTGCTTTCTCTGCTGGCACAACAAAATCAACAAGAGCTAATTATCAACTTATAAAGGGAGATCTCACTGCAAAAGTAGAATCGATCAGGTGCATCTCAGATATAATTTATATATATATATAGACACACACACATACATACACATATATAGTGACCCTGCTTGCCAATGTATACCCCCAGCAACTCCATTGGAATAACCAGTACAGAAATTTGACAGATGTACACGTATTTAAAAGTTGCATAAAGATTTATTGAGCTCCAGTTTTCCTTTTTTCTATTTTAGTAAGCAATAAACAATTGTGGAAAAAACTGGTTATATTCTCACAGGCGGAAATGATCAAAACATGTCTCCATGACAGCTCAGAAGCTATACCATTCATTCTAAAAGTTGTTGTATTTCTTGGTTAATGAGCTCTGTTGGTAATTTGCAATGTTAAAAAAAGTTCTATTGTTGAACAGTTATTCATTTTCAGTGCAGAACCATTGTGTCTGAATACAGAAGGATTGCCTTTGGTTCAGGAAAGTATTTCTAAATGTAGGCTATAGTCAAAGTCAGTTTGTCATCTCAGTTCTGGCAACAATGGGAGGAGGAACAGTTTGCATATAACAGCAAATACTGTCTTTGCAGCCTAAAGTCCCTTAAATAAAGCCAAGGATGAACAACTGACCCGTTACTTAGTGTAAATACAAGGTGGAATTGTGGGAGTTTAAACAGAGATTAAAGTATCAACACACCCAGTCGTCTCAGTGTGCACAGTATTGACAGTTTAGTATCTACTTACAGATGGTGATTTTTTTTTTCAAACCCATTTGGGTATATATACATATAAAGTACGTTTTTGCTCCACATGTGTAAAAAAATGTTCTGCTATACTTTACCCTTCTTTTACTTCTTTCTGCTTTTAATTTACATTACTCTTTGATATGGTCTACAGAGTAACTGTAGAGCCATTGTTAGAAGTTATATTGGCCATAATAATACACAATTACAAGCCATTCTCCCCATTTAGTCTGGCCTGAATGAGAACAAGCATTAATACCTCACAACTGTGAGAACAGACAAAAAGCTATAAATTGACACACACACACACTAAGCGGTCTGTTAGGTATTTTATAACCAAAACCTTTAATCACAGTATAAACAAAGAACAAATGACAAAAGTTGAGGAGGAAAAGCTTTGCATCTAGCAGACGTTGGGTCCCATCTCCAGCATCACTGAGCTCCCGCTCTGCGGTGTCCAGCCGAAGAGAACGCCACTGGCTTCAGGCCTGACACGGGGGGGGTCCAGGGACTCCCGACGTGTTAGGATCTGGCATCAGACGACGTCCCAGCCAAGGCGGAGGGGACAGCTCACTTGGACCTCTGCCTCATCTTTCTCCTTTTACGCTTCAGTCTGAACAGTTGATCAAATAAAGAAATTAGACGAATCCAAAAAAATGTATGCGAGAGTAAAAACGTGCTACACACGGAATCCTACCTGCGCATGCGCTTCTTTCTCCACTAGAAAGAGAAGAAAAAAACAAATCATATCTAATTTTCACATAAAATCCAAAGCTGCATACTCAATAACCAAGCTAGTTGGGCAGATGAGTGGTTATAACTGGATAAACTATTCAACTGTTATACTTAAAATTGCGCATGAAGTGTCAACGCTAGCTAGCTACAAAATGTTAGCATCACTGAAGAGTAAGTTTATCCCATCACAGGAAATTAAAGTACCAACCTTAGCCCTCATTTCAGAAGGGAGCTGCTGTAAACAGAAGGGAAATAACAGTTGTTATTCTGGATCGATTTGAAAGGAAGACGATTGAATTGGATTCTATGCACCAGAAATACTCACCAACGGCTATCGTACTGTCGCAACTTAGGGCGTCATATGTTAGCGACAGTTTATTTATAGTGGTGGTGACGTGATCCATAGGCGACGAAAACTAAAACATGAGTTCTGCAAATTAAACTGCGAAAAAACATCTCAGAAAGGAAACGCTTTAAGCCTAAGAGGTTATTTCGGTTTGTATTTTTTAAGCTAAAAAAAAAACAGTCTAAACGATATAATATAAACTTGCTGCAAAGCTCGCGTTGGCATTAAACATACATTTGTAATTTGTTTTCTTTGACACTACAAATTAATAAAGGTGATGTTGAACTACCACGTGACTCACATTTATATAAATTTCCCACACCTCAATATTTTGTGACACTGTCTGATGAACCCATCCTAACATTCATTTTCCCTTTTTTTGTTTCTTAAAATTCCTTACCAACTGTTTCCAAAAAGGTGTATATAGATGTTGGTTTTGTAAAATTACATGCAAATGTTTTCTTGTCATTACTCTCCTGGCATAGGTACAAAGCAGAGGTTTTGTTTTGCTGTCCCAGACATCAAATACCCCCATCGAGACAGAAAAAAAAGACAACAGAAGCGTGATATGATAGATGGTTATTTAATGTGTCCAAAAATAGTCTCTGAAACTGGGATTTGTTTTACAAAAGCATCCATATATCTGTCAGCTATGGAGTTCTTATGTAAACACAGACTGTCCGACTCAGTAGTGGCACCAGATAACTGAATGCTGAATCCTTGACAAGAGTTAAAACTGTCCACCACTGAAAAAAACAACTCTTTTTTTACACCTGTTAAAATACTCAGGCAACAGGTCTTATGTCCGTTTACGAAAACGTTAACTGAGTAACCAACAGCGGGCACCTAGAGGCATACGCAATGATCTCAAACACAGATCTAAGCAGTAGTAGCAAAAATGCAGGAAAGCTTTATTCAACAGAAACGATGACTAAAGGTGTCATGCCTATAAACTGTGTGACCGTCTTTAGACAAGTTTCCACTCCATTCAAAAGGCATGGCTTCATGTGAGCGGCCTAAATGAACTTCTTTAAATGCCACATGATTACACGGACTGTGCCTTCATCATCCTCGGCCGCTCAGCCAAACTCATCTTGTTTTCCCTCATCTTTTACGACAGTTGTGTGGAGAACAAAGGGGAAGCTCAAGGCAGCTCGGATGGTGGCGTGTTCCTGTGTGTATGCCCTTGTAGAAACAATCCTCTTGGATGGTAGAAGTGCAACTACTTTTGTGAGAAAAGTGCTGCCTCAAAGACAGGGAAATTTACTGGAGTTTTAATATATGTGTATGTGTGTGTGTGTGTTTAAGGTGGAGAGACAGAATTTAGGAGCGGCCTCATCCAAAACTGACATCAGTTAGATTCAGAGGTATTCAAAGCGGCTAAGCCCCTAAGTGCCTCAGACAGCTGGGACAAAAGGAATTGCGACGCCTGTTCTTTGGGTCGTCGGATGTCTGTCACGATTTATTGGAACTTATTCTGCTGCCTCGGTCTCCATCGCCTGTCCTGTTGCATTCTCAACGGTCTTTGAAGCCTACGGTGAAAGAGAAACACACAGGTTGGAGCCCACAGGGGTTGAAATAATGCTTTTGGATCCATGACAGGATGTCAAACTGTTCTGCGGGTCACCTTCTTTTTCTTCTTCTTCTGAGTCTTGCGGCTGGCCGAGCTCTGAAGCAAAGTCTTTAAAGAGGTAAAAACAGAACGGAGAGCGTAAATGACCACGTGAGATCTGACACAAAGGATCCAAACACACAAATCTTTTGTAAAGCATCTGCTCCGTGGAACTGTCGCACCTTCAGCTCTGCGTCTTCCACATCATGCTCAGACTTGTAGAGCTCCGGCTCATAGAGGCTGCTCGTGATTCGCAGGGGTCCGTTAGCCATGAGCAACACGGTGAACTTGAACTGGGCAACAAATTCACCTGAATGGGGAGGGCGGAGAGTTAAAAAGGATCAACAGCGAGTAGAATCAGGTTGTCATTGAAATCAAGAAATTCCTGTGAATGCCTCTAAGATACCCCCAAATTTTTTTTAAATGATTTCTCTCCTGTCTGAGTGCTGAAATGCCGACTAGCTACATAATGTCAGCAGACCTGCAAGACAGACCACCGGCAGCCCTCAAAGATATATCGCTGAGTAAGGCAGTTAGTAAATTCCTCAGGTGTCGGTGTGGCCCTGAAGCCAGTAGTGATCGCTCACCCTCCTTCTCTTGCAGCACAGTGAACGGCTGCAGGAGCTCGTGTTTGGCACACTCCACCACGCCCAACCGGGCCTTGCCTTCATCCTCGAACGCTCTGCGCGCACACAGAGGGACAGAGAGGTGAGCGAGCGCACGCTTTGGCAAGAATAAGGTCACACCTTTTCTTTTAAAGGGGCAAAGACGCCGACCTCAGAGTGAAGGGCATCGTGTCGAAGCGTCTCTCCATCTCGCTGAAGAACGTGCGAGATGTCTTCATCTTCAGGCCGTACACCTTGTTGGGATCTCGCTTGTAAACGGTGGTCCTCTGACCTCCGTCTCTGGCCTAATGAAGAACGAGAAAAAAAAACATCTGAGGTTTTGGTCCCTGTTCACAAGGAAGTGGGGAAAATGAGCAGTCGTTTTCACCTTTCCCTCTCCAGTGCTGATGAGCACATCCACTGCATACACCTCATGCACCTCAAACTCTGCCTTCTCATGGTCCTTTCTGGTAAAACATAGACAAATACAGTTTTTTTTTTTTTTTAAAAAGGGTTGAGTTCATCGAGCGAAGAGTGCAGGAGACAACAGCCAAATGCTCACTTTTGCTGGTCCGTTGGGTTTTGGATGATGGTTTTCTCGCCATCGATCACATGTTGTTTGAGCTGATGGGACAGCATGCCTGCGCAAAACAGAGGAATAAAGCCAGTCACACGTGTCCTGATTACCGGAAGTTAAAACGAAAACAAACAAACAAAAACGAGCTGCCAAACGCTGGCATGCGCTCACCCTCCACTGCAGAGCACTTAAACGACTTGGCGATCTTGTTCCAGGCCTCCGTGACCTGTGCGTTCTGTTGGGAGAGACACAGTGAGGGAGGCGGCGCCGTGGGGGGGCGTGGCCCGGTCCCCCGGCAGGCGGCCTTACCTGGTTCCCGGGCTTGACGAGCCGCAGCGCAGCTTCGGCGCAGAGGTACGCCGCCTTGATGACGTCGGCTTTCCGCCCCGTCACGGGGTTGTCCTGAGAGGGACACACAGGAGCCACGTTAAAGTCAGAACCAGCGGTTCCGCCCGCTTCTCTACGGGGCCACAGACCGGTCGGATCAATTTCTAGTGGAGCTGGCAAACCTTGGTCGCTCCAATGATGAAGCTGTGAGCCACGTTTGAGATGAAGCCGTCAACGTGCACCCCCAGATCGCTGCACACACACACACACACACACAGAGAAGATAAGACAAGGTGAAGAGTGCCCCGCAACGCCGAGCCAAACGTGAGCAGAGAATGAGCGGCCTACATCTTGACGAGGTCCCCATCCTTCATTATGACGTCAGGGTCGCTCTTCAGGGGGGAGAAATGGCAGACGCAGTTGTTCACCGACACGCAGGTAGGAAAAGCGATGCCTGGAGAAAGTAAAAAAAGAAAACGGGGCGGCCCCGTGAGGAAGTGTTGAGTCACTGAAATCAATAGTAACTCGCGAGGGACTGCAAAAATGTGCACCTTTTTTCATTTCTTTTTCCCGCTTGAAGATCTTCCCGGTTTCTGCCATAATGAAGGCATCTCCCTTTTCACAGAGGCTGAGCACCGAGACGCCGGCTGCAGCTGCCGCAACTACCGCCTTCAGAGCCTCTGCAGGACAAAAAACAAACAAACATGGGATGTGGATGACACGGCATGACAACAACAAAAAGGATGGAGAGTTCATAGAGTTCGTCTACTGTTAGTATCTGGGCCTGTGGAAAAATAACTTAAAATTTCATGATATTCCAACACCCTTTTTTAGTTATGTGACAAATCTTAAAGCTGGCACTTATGCATATTAAACTAACGGTTGCTGGGTGGCCTCACGTGTTGAAATACGGCATCGTTTCCACCCTTCTGTCTTGCTGTTTAAGGCAGATGACTGTTCATTTGGTTCAGAATAACCTAATGCCATGTTCAGGAAGAGATCAAGAAGTGACAGAATTTCTGACAGCTACATTTTGGGTGAAAAAAAGAAGAAAAAGCTCCAGCTTAACTCCAAATAACTGTAAAACAGATCAGCAGTAAGAAAACAACAGTGAGAAAACAAAAACCATAACAAGGCCACGCTTATTGATTTTTTTTAGCAAAACTAAAGCATGTGATTATTTCCATCTTCCGGACACAGCACATGGAACCACAGGAGGGGAAATAACACCAAGAAGAGTTTTAGAGCTACTGTAACACTAGTTTTAGGTGTGTAGTTAGTCTATGGTGTGGGATTATTTTTCAGTTGTTGACAGATATCCAGTAAGAAAACATTAATAAGTCTGTGATTAATTCTACTGAGGTCTCATCTGTTTAAAAGTGTTTCCAAAGCCTAACAGGCTGAATTATTAATCAACCTTCAGTACCTCATCCATAAAAAATTACGGCCAGTTTATCAGAAATGTAAACAATTCAACATTGTTTACTGTTAAATAAAAAAAATCAGAAAAATAGCCCACATTTGATGAACATCTGATCCAAAACTATGCGTCATTTCAGTTAACCAAACGAACACGTTGCCGCGCGAAATTGTCATTTGTATAGATCTGAATCAGTTGTGGTTTACATTTAAAACAAACTGTCAGCAAAGCGAACTTTAACGCTCGGTTTTCACTTGTCATCGTTAACAGCTTCTTTAGCAGTTGCAGCTAGCTGACGGTTGCTAATCCGTTAGCTCAGCCACTTAAATGGAGAGCGAGCTCGTGGAGCGCGTGTGTCACCTCCGTGCCGTTAAGATACGCAGAGCTACCACAGAAGAAGTGTGAGCGCCGACGTGTTTGAACCCTCCATGTTTCTCTGCCATACGCCACGGCCCTCTCCGACTCACTGTAATGCTACTGCTGAGGCACATGGCACAGCTGCTCTCTAGATAGCTGACACAGCTAGCTAACACCACACCGACCTAGAGACTTGGAAATAGCTTTTTTTTTAAAAAGCACATCCGTTTAAAAGCTGTATTTTACTAACGGTTCGCAATCTCGGCTCCCATCTTGTACTTGGTGACCACCAAGTCATCGGCGATGGTCTGCTCCTGCGTTTCTTCATCTCCAGACATGTTGGCCGTGTGCTGACCGCGAACTCAAAGTAACTTTTCTTTTTTTCTTCTTCCCCCGGCGGGTGTCAGTCAGTCACAGGATGAACCACGCTGCTCCGCGCCGTGCACCGACCCGCCCGACTTCACCCGACGCACCACGATCCCGCCTCCTGCCAAAGAACCACCCCGGAGTCAAGAGAACAATTCATCTTTGGTTCGGGGCGTCATGCGTAGTAATACGGTGTCCCCGAGGTTCCAAAAAATACGACGAGGCGCAGGAGTACACGGTGACAACAAGGACACCGTTCTCGACAGACCTAACGGAACAATGCTATATTATCTCAATATGTAAACAAAAAAACATTGACATTTTTTTAAGGTATCATGTTGTTTCTTCGCTTTCTTAAACGTGGCGTTTTGAAAGTTGTTTTTTTTTTACTTATTCGAGTAAACTTGACATCTTTGTTTAGACGTTTTTTATGCATTTTGACACAATAAATAGATTAACTGACAATGTGTTGACGGCGTGTTTCGATTCAACTACGTCGAAGTCGTACATCAAATCAGTAGCAATGATTTGTACGAAAACGGAAAAGCTGTGTATTTATCTCTTTTCTGAGTTCATCTTTGATTCCAACTAATCTTTTGCGCATGCGTCATCACAGTTGTTCGCGGATTTCTCCTACAACCGGGTTCCGCTGTGAAGACCGTGTCAACAAACGTAAGATGACGAGGTACATGTTTGATTTAATTGAACATTGAAAATTACAGAAATTACAAACAAATTAGGAGTCTTTTTTTACTGGAGAAAAGATTTTTATTTTTCAGCATACATTGAGAGAACTTACAAAAGACTAGTACTATAATTCAATCGATCTTTAAAAAACAAATCCTAAAATGATATAATATAAAGCGTTGATATAAAAAAGTATAAAACAAGAGCTGTAAACCAAGTCATTTCATGCTACTTTAGGAAAATGCACAATTTATTTACACTTTATTTTCAAATAATGCCAAACAAACATTAAATGCCACATGCAGGCTAGTAGACCTTTGTTGTCATTGCCTCCTACAGACTAATATTTGGTTTAATAAATTATTACTTACTGCAGAAATCAGTGAAGCACATGAAAAAACAAACATATTTCCTTTATTACTGTGATTCTTCTAGGACATCAGTATGCAAGGAATCTATGAAAATGTGGAAAACATCATTTACTGTGTCCCTGTCCCTTTATCCCTTTCCCTGTATCAGGTGCGAACGGCATCTGGCTTGACAAACAGCCTGCTATGCCAGTAGTCTGGGTTGTCAAATGATGAGTTACCGCCCGGCTCTCCTATGCCGGTGCAAACATTGATGTATTCCCCGATCGCTCCACACCTGCCTCTGCCCATCTCCTCAGGAGCGGCCCTCCCCTTCACTGGGAAGTTCTCATATTCTGTGTGGCCCCAGGTTTCAGCCTCCACTTCAGATTCAGTTATCTCCTCATACTCCTCCACGTCACCAACCCCAGCTGTCGGCACATCTGGCTCAGTCGTAACTACACTGCTCAGATCCCCATGCAGGGCAGTTTGTTTATCAGTTTTGTGGCATTTCTTACTTTCTTCTTCCTCCTCGGGCTCCTTTTTCAACACCCTCGCATTTTGCTCCGGGTCCTCCGTCTCTGTTGCAGTGGCTGCAGATGTTTGACTCCCACATGTCTTCCTTTCAGGGACAGCGTCCTCAGGGGAGTCAGAATGCCTGATGTCCATGTATTCATACCTGCAAATCCCCTGGGCTGTTTGTGCTTGCTCGGTTATGGACTCACTGGTGAGCTGATGCCTGTCTTTAGAATCTCTTTGCTCTGGTACCGCCCTTTCACAGAATTCAGGTACTTGATTGTGTTTTACAGCTGAGTTTGGAGTTTCCTCGTGTGCTTTGTTCTCTGTGGATGACACAGCCCCGTGGGTTGGGGAAGTTAATAGAGAAACCTGGTGACACAGGGCGACTGCCGTGTTGTCTCCCTGTAACGATATGCCACTCTCAGAGCAGGGAGGAGCACCAGATTCTGTGGCCATGGTCTCATATTCCTGGGAGGGATTTGTCACCCTGGTAACCAGATTGTTCTTAAATCTTGAGCTCCTTCGGCCAGTACAAGATTTTCTGGAGACTGTGAGCGGGGAAGACAGAAAGGGAAGAAGAAAAGGGGGAAATCTCAATGAGATACTTTTCACTTTTATCCCCACGTCTCTAACATGCAATAGTCACAGCGACAAACGAGCCCCCAGAAGGCCTTTGTACTTTCTTGTTTTTGCTTGTTTTACCTCTTTCTGGTGTTCCAGGTGACCCAGGCAGGACGTAGCCATAACTGTCCATCTCCTCCTCTTCATCTGCCTTCCACACCTTGTAAGAGGACGGGCTCGAGACTGTTGAAAGCTTTCTGTGTCGACTAACAGGCACCCGGAGGTTACTCCGGGTGTCAGGGCTAAGCTTAGCCCTGTGGAGGCTTCCAGTCCGCAAACCTGCATCACGCATTTCTGCCTCCTTGCTATTCCCTCTGACCTCCGACCTCTCGGGCAGCGTCCGTACTGAGCTCAGACGAGACCTGTGAAACCACAGCTGGGGAAAAAAAATAAAAATAAATCAGGTTCCCTAACAATGACCTTTTTGAATGCCACTGAAATCAGCTACCACATGTCGGGTTGCATGAATGTGCGTGTTCGCCACACCTGGCGGAGGCTATCTGCAGGGCTTGGGGTCATCGGCAGGTATCCAGCTGGTGTGTCTTGAGATGTGCCGCCCTGTGGGTCAGAAAACGTGTGATGCGCTGATAGGTTTGGCACAGCCTGGACACCAGTCAATCCATCACCTCTAAAGCACAGTTGTCTTACCCTGTATGAATGAATCAGTGAACAAGGCAGACTCCAAGATGGCGAATGCTGAAGAGGAGGAGTATCCAAACCATCCTCTAATCCTTCCTCATCTGGGTCTTCTAAATCTGCATCCAAAAGTCCTCGTTCTGATTCTCTTCGATGGATTTCACCCACAGCAGCACCTTCTCCTTCCACCTGAAGCGTAACATTAAGGAACTGGGGTTTAAGTGTCAAATCGGAGCTGAAATGTAAAAGACCAAGTGACCATGACGACTCTCACCTTGATGACGAGGTATCTAGGGGGGTCTCTTGCCATCCGAGTAAAGTCACTTGCCAGCTCTTTGAAAGTTGGTCTTATATTTTCATCAATCATCCAACCTTTTACAAAAAGTAGTTGAACCGTTACGTAAATACACCGAGTTTGAGCGCGTTTCTATGTGTGAGCGGGATAATTGTCTCACTCACATTTAACCATCACCATGTAGACATCTATAGTGCAGATGTGAGGCTGTGACAGACGTTCTCCCTTCTCCAGGAGACCGGGCACCTCCTGAGGCTGCACGAACGCATACGGCTCCGCCCCAAACGACATCATCTCCCACACCGTCACCCCTGTCCAGGGGAGGAAGATATTTGAAGACATATGGCAAAAACAGTTCACCAAATAACGCTACGTGTGCTCACAAAGCCACTCACCATAGCTCCAAACATCGCTTTGATGAGTATATCTTCGGAACAAGATGCTTTCGAGTGCCATCCACTTTATGGGCGTCTGAATGAGGAGAAAATTAGGAGGCAAGCAGTTTGTGTCAGTGCGGTTTGTTTGAGCTTAAAAACTGTGATTCACAGTGGTCTAGGAGCATGTCACAGCTACCTTAGTGTCCGTGTAGACGTATTTCTTGTCATCGGGGAAGAGGAGGTCTGCCACTCCGTAGTCGGAAATCTGGACCTGATAGTCATTCTTTAGCAAGATGTTGCGGGCGGCCAGGTTCCTATGGACCATGCAGTGCTCCTCCAGATAGAACATACCCTGTGAAACAAACAGATGGACATATGGACATGTAAAGACACCTTTGACCACCTCTTTGTGACAATAAGGTGCTCAACAGGATTCCAGCTGCACTCACCTTAGCAATCTGCACACACCAGTTCAGGAGGCGCTGCGGGTTGAGGCTGTTCTTATGCTGCCTTATGTGGTCCAGTAAGGAGCCCTGAGATCTGAACTGGGTGACCAGTTGCAGACTGGCACCTGGACAGATGCCCAGTAGCCTGACAATGTAGGGATGATCCAGGCTGCCCATGGAAAGCATGTGCTGTGAAATAATGGAACACTTTTTGTGTTACTGCATAAGTCATGTAAAAAAAAGATTATTTTCTCTTTGGATGGCTCAGTAATTTACATTTGTGGCAAACAAACAAAATAAATAAAACACTCACATCAGTGATTTCAGTGAAGGTCTGCCGGCCTGAGCTGTCCTGGATGGTCTTAATGGCAACGGGGATTTTTACCGTCTCTCTTTCTGGAGTCCAAAAACCCTTTAACCCAAATCTCATTAAGGAGGACAGTAACAACACTGATATGAGTAAAAAATCACTGATGGTTTGTCAAAAAGAAGTAATCAATACCTTGTGCACTGTGCCAAAAACACCAAAGCCGAGCACTTTGATTTTTTTCAGCTCCGAGGGCCTCAGAATGCGGGCATGAACTTTGGTGCCTTTCTCTCCAGGGCCCAGGGGCTCAAAGCTCTGCCAAAAACACAGTGATTATCCCTGGCTGACTCATTTCTCTGTGAAAACTAGTATGCACAGCAAGAGAAGTCAAAGCAGCTCGTAAAGCTGTGTGGCCTCTGAAGTCTCACCTCTCCACTTTCGAGGTATCTCCTCATGGCTCTCTTGTGACGGATGGCAAGGCCTCGATGGTACAGCACTCCCAGGAAAAACAACGCCAGGCAGAAAATCAAGCCAGCTGGGATCCCTAAAGCTATCCCTGTGATCTGACCACTGCACAGAAAAGCAGAGAAAGAGAAGATGATACCGATTGAAAATACTAGCTGGACATTAGCTTCAGAAGAACTCCCCAAATTATATTTTTGTCTTTGCTCTTTAACTCTTCATGCTTGACTGGAGCTGACTTTTCATATTCCAATTACAACTGATGTCTCTTGAAGAGTGTGGACTGCGATGTTTTTGTCTTGCACGGTATAGAACTGCACCCAATGTTTTTTTTCCAGCATTTCAAATAAGTACTCTATGTATAGCTAACATTATTCTTTTGAGCTTCTAAGTTACATCATTTACCTGAAAATGAGGAGTGTGTCTCAAAGTAAGCTGTGGAGAAACCACAGCCGTGACAGTGTAGTGTACCCTTTCACCAGCAGAGGGAAGCACTCACCTATTAACTGCAAGTCCAGTGGTCTCCAAACAGTCATTTAATCCTGGGCCAAAGCATCTGAAACCCATACAGCAGTGATCTCAAGCATTTACATATCATATAAGTGACAAGAATATACACAAAAGTGAATATGAACTTGCTTATACAAGCAAATATGTTCAGTCTTACCCCTGTGTGCAGTTGGGGTGACATGGTTCACAGTGACCCTGCCTGGTAGGAAATTTGAAAATGAGTCCTTTCTCTCCATCATTGACTCCAGTCGGGCAGGAAGACATGCAGTAAGGCCCATCTCTAAGATTGGCACAAGCCACGCACTCATCTGCACCCTAGAGGAGATAGAAATGAAAAAGAAATGTGAGATCGGTGACTAGAAAAGACACAGAGCTAGTAGCGAGACAAGTCACAGTACCACACAGTCAGCAGTATTTCTTAATGCTCCAATGAGCAAGAAGTGATGTAAATTAAATATTCAAACACATAGATGATCTTTAATACAGAAAAGAAGTTCTCAAAAATAAATGTTCTTTCACAAATTGATAGTATTTGTGTCTCTTCTTGAAGTTTAAGGGAAAACATTCATCCAGGTTTTCGTTTAGAATGAATAGAAACTTTACAAGTGAATACTAGACAAAGATAAAAGAATGAAGACACATTCAGGGGGCTACATACTCAAGTATTTGTTAAGTAATGCCATGTATACAAAAAGCCAAACACAAACATGAGCTTTTGAATACTGGACCAGAAGGGTCCAGTGCAAAGACGTCAGGTCATTACCGGCCCCGTGCAGCTGATCTCCCCCCTCTGAGACTTGCATTCTGCATGACAAGCAACACACTCCCCATCAGACCTCGCAAACTCTCTTGGAGATCTACAGGAACAATAACCCAACGTTAGATAACTGAAAAAGAGCACAGAGCATCAACTGGAAGACTCGTAAATGAATTCCAATTCATAAAATTCATAAAAACCACTGACCCCGAGAGGAAGTTACAGCTGCCCACACATGTGCCGTCACGGCTGAAGTTCCTACAGGAGAGACACTGGTCGGGGCCCGGGCCCCAACAACCTGAGTCTGAACACAGGGCGTTGCACACGTGGCCTTCTGAAACTGCACATACAACCAGACGGGAGCGTCAGGGACCTGCTCCAGCTAACCAGAGCCGTGTTCCAACTGTACCTGACAGTTTCAGTTAATGTCATTGTGCTAAAGCAGAAACTGCCCTCACCACACTCTGCTAACGGCCTGTTGTGGTTGAGATTGTTGACTCGAACTCGGCGGCCTCTGAACAGCTGTGTCCAGTTTACCGTGTGGTGGTAACAGAGGTTGGCGTTCTGACTGATGTACACGCTGCCGTCACTGATTTCCCGAAGGGAGCGCAGGCCCAGTGAGGTAAGGCTGGGGATGTGCATCACCATCAGAGAGAAGCGCCTTTTGTTTAAAAGTAGAAGGAAAAGCAATAATAAGTCAGCTTTAACAAAGCATTGTAACCCTGGTGTGTATCTGCACTCCGTATTTTGGTGTCAGGCCATCAAACGTCGTGGAGCTCTTTGGAAATCGGTAATGGAGATCTGAACCATTTTCAAAGCAATAAAGAAACGAAAGGATATGAGCCACATCCAAGAGTGTGTAAAGTGTGTAAAATGGCAAAAATGACAAATGGTAATGCAACACAATTTACATTTACACTGATTTACACTGATTTACATTTCACCCAAGAGGGTACTTCATTAGTCTGGGAAAGAAATGTTTGCCAATTTTCAAAAACACAGATTCACGATCAGAATGGTCTGCCGTCCAAAGAAGATTTTATTATAAAGACCTCTAAGCCATTAAAACGTGGGTTTTTTCCATTAAAAAGGAGTCATTTTGACCAGATTTTTTGCCTTACTTGAAGAGCGATCTCCCTTGAATGGTGCTGAGGCTTGAAAAAACAGACAGGTCATTCAGTTCCCTGGGCCAAGACTGGATGTTAAGAATATCTGAAAATAAAAGAAAGAGATTAAAAAAGGGAAGCCTGAGGCATGCCACTCTACCCAAAACACAGCCCTTATTACAATATTCCAAAGCCTGGAAATGAAGATATTTCAACATTTAACAGTTCATGGACAGAACAGAAGGCTTAATTTCTCTCCACATGTGGTCCATCTATCCTAGTTTTAATTGTTGATACATTTCTCTGAGGGCTCCTATCACGCAGGAATTTTTCCCATTCGATACTCAGCTCCATTTTTTTCATGCTGCGATCAATAAGGCACTCTGCTGGCGAGACACTAACTGATCTCCCTTTAATATCCTCAAATAACTTTAATGTTAATAAAAGATCAATTCAAAATGATGACCAAGTTATACATGTTTTTGAAAGAGGAGATATACTTTATAAAATAGTCATCATATATCATTAAAGTTCAACAGTAATTAAAAAGAAAACCCAAATACAGAATGAGACTAACACAAACCTGTTATTTCCCTCACAGTGCGGAACACTTCCAACTGTTTGGCATCCAGGGGTGGGATGTTTTTAAAGTCATCTCTGCACAAACCAAGAAACCCAATATGAACATTTGCATTTTCCAACATCTTATTCTGACGCATGTCGGTAAACTCTATGTGCAGACGATTACCCGAGAATCCCGGTGACCAGGAAGTGAAGGCTGCCCTGGATCTTCGTGCAGTTGATGAAGCTGTCAATGTTACTGGAGTCCACAGTCTGTCTGTGCTCTGCACCGGTGCCCTCGCACACTACGAGAAGGATCAAAACGCTCAGTCACCTTTAATGGGCGACACATCATCCGTGGATTATCACCGGAACAGACAAACCATCTTTAACACGAACCTTTAGGGCAGAATCCACTGCAGAGTTCACACTGCCTGTGACCCTCCCGCTCCACCTCCATCTTGTCTTGGGGACACACGCTCACGCAGGAGCTGCCGTCCACCACGAAATTGGCTACAGACGGGGAAAAACAAGCCATGCAGGCACCACAAAAGAGAGGTTATACTGCCATCATGTTAGATCTCAGAACACATTTATATGAGGTAGAATTGTACTCAACAGTGCACATGATGGGTTTGAATGTTAAAAGTACACAGAAACACTACATACTGGCCACTTACCTGGACACTGTGAAACACAGATTGAGCCATACTGGTACTTGGCGTTGGGGTTGGTCTCCATTTGAAATGTTTGCTTGTTGTAGATGAGTGTCTGGGGACACTGGGGCACGCAGGCTCCAGAGTCGTTGAAAAGGCGACACGCCTTTACAGATACACACACGCACACATCAGCGTTGGATATATCAAATGAAGAATTCACTTGAAATCACTCAAATGTTAAAAAAATTAAACACACAAATGACAAATCTCAAACTGTGGTATGAGTTTATCAATTTCGGCGCATTATGGAATTTCAGCTCAGGGTAAAAACAAAGCACTTACGAAACAGTCCACATCCAGGGGGCCTTTGCATCCTGCTGCACACTCTATGTGACAGCAGTCCCTGGGGCTTGTTCCGAAACAGCGGCCGTTACACTGTGGAGCGCACACCATCTTAGTCACTGAGACACACAGGAGACAACAGTCAGACAGAGGTCATCTTAATGCACGTATGTCCTGTGTCATCTCTCTAAGTGCTTTTTCACATAAATAGAGGTGCTGACTTCTGAGAACGAAATGAAAAAACCTATCAGCAAGAGAAAAAAAAGAGGAAACTTTGGATGTATGCACTCACAGATCTGACACTGGGCCTCATTTGGACCCCAGCAGTGATCTGCACAAGATTTGTGGCAGGGGCCTGATAGAAAGAGTGGAACAGACAAACAGGCAAACAGGGGAAATTAATTGAAAAAGATCACTAGATTATGGGGAGCATTAGCTGTCTGAACTGATACCTTTCTCTCCGTTGTACTGGATGTCAATGGGAGCGTTGTTGTCCCGTACAATATCTCGCCACATGATCCAGGGACCATAGTTCAGGTATTTGTTATGGATAATCTGCAACCCTCCCTCCAGAATCTCTGTGAATGATTTGAGGAGGCACTTCCGTAAACGAAAACACAAACGTTTGAAATCTCAGATCTGGAGTTAGTGTGTGGGAAGTGTGTGTGAATGTGTGTTTTTAGGTTCTCAGTTCATAATAATGAGTACTCGTGTTGAATAAAATAGTTTAATTAATCTTTTTCTTGCTCTTCTCTCATATTTACCTGTCAAATTTGCGAGCCCCAGTTGGCGCAGGCCATTAGAGCCATCCTTTGGGTAGTTAAAGAAAACTGAGAGGGCAAATTTTCGTTCGTACAGAGTGTTTCCTCTAATGACCCGTAGTTGACCCAAAGGAATCTCCTGAAAATTGTTCATAGCAATAAGGACGTAGCCAGTCACCTCTCGGATTGTCTGTGAAAAGGAAAATACAAATGTCTTTAAACAGAATGTTGTTTTTACATGGATCAAATGGACCTCTATGCTTCAGTGGCAAATATCGTTGTGATAAACCAGTGTAAAGAATGAGCAAAAGAGGGAGGATGCTTACTTTGAGGAAAGAGAAGTCCCAGTTACTCTCAATGTGAGTGATCTCCAGGTTTCCCATGATGATCTCACAGCCAGCATATCGGTCTTTAATCAGGTTATACTGATTCTCCTGAGTGCCGGTGAAGCTCAGACCATTCTGTGTTCCCATACAGACCTCTGACACATAGGTAAAGCAGAAACATTCATAGTCTTACCAAGTTGTCTTAAACAAAGCCTACACTCATCCTGTACAGAAAGTTTGGTAAAAAATCGGTTACGCAAAAAGTTGAGCTGTACTCAGTTTTAAGGGCATGTCAACTTCTTTCAGAAGCCAGTGGAAACCTTAGGGATGCACAATGAAGTAACATTAAAAGAGCACAGTGATAGGCCTCACTGAAGCAGCACAAACAGCAAACGTGATTGTGGACGCTATTGTTTCTGCAGCATTTATGGGTCTGCGGTGTTGTGTGCAATGCCGAATTTGATCCGAAGCAAAGAGACAGGCTGTAACCCACATACATGGAGCGGTCCAGGCCTGAGGGTGATGGAGAGAAGGCCGAGGGTCGAGGGAGAAGGGCTTCTCTCGGACAAAGTGTCTTATTGTGATAAAGCCATAAAAGTGGACAGTGTTTCCCAGTGAGTGAGGAGTGATGCAGCGACAGACAGTGCTCCTGTGTGTGTGCGCAGGGCAAGCGTTGCTGAGATCATACCAAAAAGACAATGGGCCGTGTGTGAGTGGGATGTTCTGGCAGTGGGAGTGGAAATATCGTGAACGGAAAGCGACATACACACCATCTTCGAAATGAGCAACAAAAACTGCGGCCTGGCGCTTCATGTGCAAAGATTAGGCACCTGCAGCTCTGAGCTCAGGTCACGTTTCCTGTTTTTCAGTTTGAACGTGCACGTTTTTAAAGGGAATTTTACAACTGCACAGATAAGGTGGAGCTGAGAAAAACATCCTTTAAGGTGCTGGTGGTTATCAGTTACAGCTGCATGATTATTGATACCCAAAGCAAAATAACAAAGAAAACCTGCGTCCAAGCGAATAATTACACTGAACATGGTGGAACAGCTACTGGATGAGTCATCTAGAGAGGAATCTCTTTCAAATACACTGAATTAGTGCATGTCAGTATCTTAGCCATATTAAGAATAATTTCTGGTTTAACAGGCCTCACTTTTGCTATTTTAGACATAAGAAAATGAATAATTAAGTTTAGGCTATTTGAATGAACAATGAACGACAACATGCCCATAAAAAAGTTGCAGCAACAAATAAAAAGTTTGCTGAAGGGGTTATACATTTGGAAATATTTCGAATATTGTCTATAATCTGTTTACAATCATCAAAGAGAGGCTTGTATTGTGGCGATCAGTGAACATGTTCAAAGTGTTATTGTTTAAGAATTTCTATGTGACTGCACACACTATTCAATTAGTTATTAAAATTATTTTCATTTTTTAAGCAATGACATATTTCTAATTGAAATAGGACCCTGGTCATAGCAGAAAGGCTTTTGAGCAGCAGAACACAGCATGTGCTGTGCAACACAAAGAAAATAGGGTGAGCAGCAGATACTCATATGAAGGCATTGGTCATCCCCATATTCTGTTGCACGCAATTATCATAACTGGATCACCTGTTTAGCTACATAGAGAATAGAACTTTCCATTAAGCCTCTTAACTGTAAATTCACCTACCGTCATGCGTTTGGGATGTTGTTGTCTGGAGCTTGCATGTAAAAATGACACACAGGAACACGACTTGCTGCCAATCCATGATGATATTGTACCCGTTTACCCAGATATCAGCATGTCAGACAGACTCAGGTAGTCCTCCAAATAGACTTCTGTGTCAAATATGGGAAAAGTTACTGCTGGTGTAATGATGAACTACCGTTTCTTGCTCTGTCTTTGAAAGATGACAGGGGGCAGAAAAAAAATCAAATACCACAAAGAGAAGGAAAAGGCAAATCTATCCTCAGAATATCTATGGAGCAGATAAATGGATCCAATCAATTCCAAAACTGAAAACAGTAAAGAAGCTGCAGCTTATTCTCAGGCTGGGATTTCCCTCCCAGATAGGGGCGTCTGATTGGCTCAGTGCCAGGATTACTCACCAATCAGAGGTTGGTCCGTCTTTTCTTTCCCACTCTAGCCGCAGCCTGGGTCTCTGTACTGAGTGGCCAAAGAGTTCCAAGACATCTGTGAAGTGTTTTGAAGTGGATGAAAGCTTTTCACGTTTAGCATGACAAGTTAAAAAAAAAAGCCATTTACACATAACGATGCAGAGCACAAAACTAAATCTCATTTAAAAACAGCACATCCTCAAAGAGCTTCTTGAAGGAAAGCTGCTCATTAGCCCCTTTGTGCAGGATACATGTTGTGCGCCACTTGTTGTGCAGTTATTTTGCGCTGCTTCGGTCAGCTGCTGCATGTGGATGCAGTGTTGTGGTCTCCCAGTCTGCGCACGGCCTGAGTGGCCGCACTGTTTTCCTCATAAAGAGTAGAATTGTCTCCACAGGCCTGTCAGCTGGTTAATCACCTCTTTGATGCGTATGGAGAAGCTTGTCACAATGGCCACTTTGTGTGACAGTCAAGTGACTTCTGAACCCTAAACAAGAACATGCTTAAATTAGGAAAATGGCCTCGAAGAGAGCAAAATTCTTCAGCATGAAACTGTGAGGGAAACTAGCCGCTAACAGATGAATATCAGTAAGTGCTTCTGACAGATATCCCGTTAATCTATTTTTGAAAAAAAGGGAGGGAGATAGCTCGAACAGTCCCCAGTTTGTGTGAGAGCATCCGAGTGGAGGAAATTGGTGTGAGAGTGATCTGAATGTTCGTCTCGGTCTGAAAAGATGGGTTGCAAAGTGGAAATGATGAAGATAAAGCTTCTGCCTCTGAAGTGGTTAAAGCCTGCTTTATTTTTTTCTCAGATCTTTCAACGGTTTTCCGTCCAGCAGGAGGAGACAGAGTCTGAGAATTGTTCATCTGACTGCCGAGCCTTTAAAGGACCCCCTTGTGGTAGGTGGACTCACTCAGTTTGGCTATTATTCCATCTCATCCATCTGTTCAAGCTTTTTGCCCAGATTGACGCAGCATAATGAGTTACCACCATTACACCCAATGTAAGAATACACTGCACATCATCAGTGTATGAAAAAGTTGGAGTCAGCCAACATGTGACATAAATGATGGGAAAACAGCTCTTTAATTTGTTGAAAAGTCCAGTGACAATAACAAAAAAAAACCTCTATGTACACAGGTTTTATGTTTCCAGTTTTGATAAGAAAAGTGCCGTATGTGTTTCCATGATTTATTTGAAGAGTTTGGCCATTTCACATGGCCACCATGTTTAGCCTCAGAGTCCCCCCCTTGGTGGCCCTGTTCTGTCCAAGGGAAACTGTGAGAGGTGCCTGCTGTGGCCTTTTGCAGTTTGGAGATTGATGAATTGATTGTGTGGCCGCTGCCAGTGTGTCTGTGCCCTGGGTGAAGGTGTCCCGGTTACGGGTGGGAATCCCAGCTATGGCATCCGCCCTGGGGCTACTATTGTGGCCGTCCTGCAGGGGGCCCTGGGGGCTGGTGGCCCCGGGAGCAGCTTGGACTCACATACTGCTGTCACACCCTTGGAGACACAGCGGCGCTCTCCCCTACATGCCCCTCTGATCGGCTCAGACAAAACCACTCTCTCAGTGAGCCCTGAGTCCACAGGGAAACTACCTGATTGTGCCAAACTCATCTTGATGCAAGCAGTTTGGAGAAGACATAAGAGGCGCTGTGTCCTTCCCACCTGAGCAGGAGGGACATTTGTGTTTTGAGTGGTGAACGTTAAACGGTTTTATGAATTTTTAGCCATGAGGATGTTTGACCCTTGTAGCGCAGAATGACGTGCACAGAATAGTTTTGGGAATCAAGAGGTGGTTGTCATTCATTTGGAATGAAAGGATGGTGTTCAACTTAATTCTAAAGTTGAGGCATGTATAGAAAGAGGTTTCATGAAACATTTCGTGTTTGACAGACACCCAGGACTCGTAAAATGGATTAGAAAATTATAAAGGGGGAACACAATGGTGGAGCCACTCTTTTGATTTTTAAATCCAAGTGAACTTAATTCACTTTGACTAATTTCAGTCTAATGCTACTAGTTATAAGTTGTGATAAATGATGTATTTGGTTTGACACATACCTGTTCACACAAATGTGATGTGGCACCTGAAACCTTGAGTGGGCAGAAGCTCGAAATAACTCTTGTCATCTAAATGTAAAGATGTGGATCCATCAACATTATTAAATGTATCTTTGATTAAACCCAAACTAATATGAAAATAACAAGTGAGACAAAGCAAATTAGGTTTTGGTCTTTTATTGATCATCGAAGTACCAGGAGTCAACAAATCATTTAACAGTTTTGCACCAGTTTGTGTTTTTCCCTTATCCTCATAATGATACTCTACTTTAGTCTTTCATTTAAGATAAAACTCTAGTTTATGGGAACACATCGTCAATTGGAATGTTGAACAGCTTTGTTTTTTTTAATAACTTTTGAATTAAAGTACCCAAATAATCACTGAGAGAAGGATGCTTAGCCACCACACTGCCAGATACTTGAACGCTGGACATTCCCATATACAAACCTGTAGTCAGAGAGAAATATAACCACTGGCAAAATAAGGCCACAAAACACTATTTTCACACCAAACTGAACATGACAGTAAACACATCACACTCACACACGCACAAGCTGCTGGCAGTTATCTGCCAGCACACTGAGCTCAATTTAACCAGAACACCATGGAATACTTCGCCTGTTACATAAACATATATACAGTTGCGCTGACATAGAAAAGCATGCTTTTGCATATTGGAAGGTTGTTTGGTAAACTTTACACAAATTCCAAGACATTTATTAGAACAGCATTGATCCAACTAGCAGCAGTTATGTAGACTAACAATTATAGTCTGAGGAAACAGGCTGTTACAGTATATTTCACTTTTATTACAGATCTTGTACAGTATTAACATGCTTTATGATGCAGAATCACTATCATCCCTCTGCCCTGTTTTTTTTTCAAATCATGAAACTGAGGAAAACTTCCATTTCTTTTGATCAAATCAAGCATGAAACTAAATGTGAACAAAATAAAGACACTCCATTCAAAATCACGAGAAAGCAAAAAGAGACACTACAGGTTCTACAGCAGGTTATTTTGTGCAGCGTGATACACAGAAAACTGGTCAACACAATAAGCTCATGTAATGACAGGCCAGTTTGGAATGAATAACTCATGATGAGAAGCGGTGTGAGCTCTTCCACGACTACGGCGAGTCACACGACCAAGTTAAGAAAATAAACATTCAAAACCATTTAATATATATTATATTGCCAATCGCATGCTGTGCCATGCCCCCCTCCACAGGGCAGGGAAAAAGCAGCATTTTCTCTAAGCCACAGAGCTGGTAAAAAGTACCTGTTCTATCATCTGCATAAGTTGAACACTTACTGCAACCACCTTACAAGCATACCCGCACGCTGGTACTGGGATGTCTTCATGCAGATTGGGAAGCAGTAATGTACAGAAATGCTGGGGCTTCTTTATCTCCCAACAGCTGCCTTAACAGTAAATGCACATTGCAATGCAGGGAGGGAAAGCATATGTCGAACTTAAAGAGGAATGAATAAATAAATGAATAAATAAATAAATAAATAAATAAATAAATAAATAAATAAATAAATAAATAAATAAATAAAT